CTACCCAACTTAGTGTTACTTTCCTTCTCCTCCTCCTCCTCCTCCTTCTCCTCTTCCTCCTCTTCTTCCTCCTTCTCCTCCTCCTCCTCCTCTTCTTCCTCCTTCTCCTCCTCCTCCTCCTCTTCTCCCTCCTTCTCCTCCTCCTCTTCCTCCTCCTCCTCTTCCTCCTCCTCCTCTTCCTCCTCCTCCTCTTCCTCTCCTTCTTTTTCTTCTTCACCAATCAAATCTATCTGGCCTTCCAGTTAGTTGACCTACCAGGAGTTACATCCTTTAAGAAAACTGACCCTTCCCTCACCCTGCCACAGCTATTAGATGCCAATAGCTACTCAGTAAATGGGGGACTTTGACTAACCTCCCTTTTCCAGGCTGGGATTTTGTCTGGCTTGAGCTAGCACATGTCCTGAACACACAGTCACAACCATTGTGAGTTCTTATGTGTAAAACGCTGTTTTCTTGTAGCTGTCCACCTCCTCTGGTTCCACCCCGCTTCTGCAATGATCCCTGAACCTTGGGAGGAGAAGCATGATGGAAATGTTCTACTTTGGGCTGAACATGCCAATGTTTCTTCCCTACAGTGTGGCAGACTGTGAGGCTCTGTACTAACTGCCAACCACTGAAGAAAGAGCTGCATAGATGAGGGTTAAAAGATGCCTGCACATCCAGGAGTGATTCCTTCACTCTGCCTCTGTCCACAGGAGCAGGGACAAACAGATGAGGTCAACATCCACAAGGGAAACTTCATAATAAAAGTCGCTAGCATTGAAATGAACCTAGGGTTCTGCAGAGAGGGCAAACCTGATGGCTGTAAGAGGGAGAGGAAGGGGTTAAAACAGGAGGTAACCAAGGGGACTGCAGTTCTGTGTCTCCTGACACTCAGAACGCCCTTTTTTGTGGTTAAGCAACCTTGAAGCTGAACTAGGTTCTGTTTCAGAAGCTGGTGCCTGAGCACGTCCCAATTGCCCCTCTGTGCCCCCACCCCAAACAGAACATCTGCGACCTCAGAGAGCCCAGGCTTCCTTATAATAACATTTACATTGTGGTTTTGAGCCCTTCCTTTGGGATTTTCCAAAGGATCCTGGGAAGAATTTTCGTAATAGCCATATCCAGTTTATCATTACTTGAGGTGATGGGGGAAGGCCACCTTACTGTGGGAATGAACCACTCAAGTCATAAAGCATCCTAAGACTTCTTGAAAATCCACAATGCCCAGTCCAGTGTGTTACTAAACCCTTAGACTCTGTCTCCCAGTCTCTGGAGTGTAAGTTTTGGTGTGTTCTAGCTGGATCTCTGGCCTGACTTCTTTGCTGTAAGAAGGACTGGGGTGAAGCCTTCACCTGCTGACTGATGGACAGCAGGTTAGTGTTGAGAAGGGGGAACTGAGAGAAGACAGGTGGGGTGGAGGCCACTTCCAGGCACAGGGCTAGAAAGGTGCTTTTGAGCACAGAGGTGTGGCCTTGAACACTAGACTTAAAGAATTATGGAGTTTTGGCTGGCATGTACCTCAGTGGCACAGTTTTGGTTATACAAGGCCAGAGCCTGAGTCTGTGTTAGACTACCATCACAAAGTCAGTGTTACAGACATTTAAAAAAATATAAACATACATGAACACAGGGAGAGCTCTGATACATTGCCTAGGTTAACAGAATAATATCTATTATCTTTTCTCCAGCTTTTCTATATTGGATTTTTTTTTCAAGTGGGCAGGTTTCATTCATTTTATGTTCAGAAAAAGAGAAACACTACGATTATCTTTAGAAAAAGAAAAGGTTTTTCTTCTCCACAGAATTCCAAAGTGCAGCATCTACTTGAGTCATAGGTTAGTGTGCTGTGGGTGAATGTGGAAGGCCCCTGTAACCCAGGCAACCTGAAAGAGTGGACACTGTGTTCTCCAAGACAGCCTAAGAGACAGCCTAAGAGATAGACACCCCTTGGCTGCTACTTCCATGAGATCAGTCTGAGGAACTGGTTGGTTCCAAAATAAATTTGGCCCTCTCTTTCTGTTTTCTCTGAGCCAAATGCCAAATAGTCCTCAGCAGCATCTTCTCTCTGTCTGCTTCCTTCACACACACACACACACACACACACACACACACACACACAAAATACCAGACATTTCAAAGATTTTACTGAGATGTAGAATAAATACAGAAAAGTGTGACTCAACATATTTTTAATATTGTCTCTGCCCATTCCTGGTCTCCTCCAAGAAAGACTTGCAACCAGTGTATTTTTTTTTCAAAGCTTAGTTCACACTGACATGCTTACAGGTTATCCAAATTTCTCAAACTCAGCTAAATAGGCCTGCAAAGATGATTAAGTCTTCAAGGAAGCCAGGAAGCCACAGTCCAGATTAAATCCTGATTTGGCAAAGACCCCCAAATACCAAGACAATGGCAAGGGACCTAGTTAGTGGATTTCATAGAGTCCAAGGAGGCAAGAGAAAAACATGAGGAAGAGGGTGGGACAGTGTTGGTGCACGCCTTTAATTCCAGTGCTCGGAAGTCAGGGGCAGGGGGATCCCTGTGAGTTTGAGGACAGTTTGGTCTACGTAGTGAGTTCCAGGAGAGCAAGTGCTACACAGAGAAATCCTGTCTCAAAAAAACAAAATCGAAAGCAAACAAACAAACAAAGGAAGAATAGGAAGGCTATAATGGGATGGGTCAGAATGGTCTTATTGTTTTCCTAAACTAAAAAAAAAAAAAAAAGTGAGAAGGTGATGTCTAATGTCTAAGCAGGGCATTGTATCTGACAGATAGATGACAGAGCAGGAAGAAAGATCAATGCAGAGAGAACGGCATGTTCAAAAACCCAAGCAAAGGGAAAATAGGGCACCTGTAGGCTCTAGCAATGAAGTGAGTTGGGTAGTGTTGATCTGGGTACGGCACCTCTAAGAAGTGAAAGCATTTTTACAGTGAGCGATGGTGACTGTAGCAAATGAACCTCTACTATATGTCAAGTCTTTGTCACCCTCTAGTGCCTCACTTTTCACATCTGCTCTTCATCCTCCTGAATCTGACCTTGTTCCCCACCCCTGTCTGGACTGTGACTCAAAAGTCCCAGAGCATCCTTGTATCGAAGGACTGCATGGGCCTACCAAGTGCCTGAGTGTGCTGGGTATAAAAGCTGGAAGGTGTGCTGCATATAACTCAACAGTGCTAGCTGTATTCACAGTGATAGTGATGAGGATGAAGATGACTGGAAAGGTATCCATCTTTTGACTGTTGCAACACAACTCACAGAGCCTACTTCATCAAGAAGCAACTTATTTGAGCTCAAAGCATTGGAAGTTTCAGGTTCTAGCATCACGACATAAATTTTACCCTGATAGAGCTTCATGGAGCAAATTTGTATGTAGATTCCAAAGGGATGGAATTAGGTAAACAGTGAAGAGGAATCAGGAATCAGAATTCACTAAGAAGACATGTTAGCTTCGAACTCAGAGAGATCCATCCGCACCTGCCTCCCAAGCTCTGGGATCAAAGGCCTGTGCCAAAGGTGTGGAAGGCTGAGGAAGCCATAAATTGCCTATATAATTTACACACACACATTGGTGGGGGTGAGGTGTGGGGAGGGGATGAGAGGGAGGAGAGACTGCCTAGGGAGGGTCTAAAGTGACCTCCTTAGTCCACAAGGCTGAATTGTGAACCTCTGCTGAATACATTGATCCTTTAGTACATGGTTTTCCAGGTTTATGGGAATGTTTGCTCAAGAGGCCACAGGAGTTAAACATCAGCACTGTCTGTGGGTCTCACTGGGTCAAGAGATGGTGGCAATAAAGGAGTTCTTTAACTCAGGGCTGCCGGGTGGGGCATGGAACTGTAGGCCTTGAGAAAGCCAGGGGAGCTCCTGATGTTCTAGGAGCTGTGGCAGCTCCACTCCCAACCCTACCCCCTCATCTCCTATCCCCAAACTCTCACCCCAGCCCTCCCCCACACCCAACATCAGGGAACTCTCATGCCTGCTTGCTACAGGTAGAGAAGAGATGCATCTGTGGCAAGATTTTATTTTTGTTCTATTCTCTTCTGCAAATGGTCCTTGTTAGATCAAATTCCTGCACACATATGGTATGTGTGTTTTCTTTTTATCTTTACTATACTGTAAAGAAGTGGAAAATATTAAGAAGCCAAAGATCAAAAAGAGTGACCTGTGAGGTCACTGTCCAGAGAGAATCAGCACCGTCCTTGGGGTTATTTTCTTTCATTCACTGACAGTGTATGCATGTGATACAAACACACATTCACGATAGGATTTCTTACATCCATATTATATTTCTTAACACTTCCATCATATTGTGAGTAGTTTTATATCCCATCTCTTACACATTTTGACATTTCCTTATGTGATTAAATGTTTACTGAAGACAAAGATGTTAAATTTGCATCCTATGAGATTTACTACTTCTGATGCCCAGCTCTGAGAGTTTTGAGAAGTTTGTGTCAGATGCCACCTTGATCTTTCTCCCTGTTCCTTTAACTTAATCCCTCCCCCATGCCTCATGCACCCTGCCCACCCATCCTGGAATCCACTGCATTCCTCTTTTCCCATAGCTTTGTCTTTTTCAGAACTCTGTATCTTTATCTGCAGTGTGTGGCCATTTGGTCAGGCTTCTTTCCCATAGCAGAATGTACTGAAATTGCCCTTCGTAAGATTGTATACATCAGTGTTAGCTCCTTTTGATCGCTCAGCAGTATGTCCCAGTACGGAATGTACCACAGTTGACTTAACTATTCACCAGTCTGGTGATACACATAATGTTTACTTGTTAAATGAACAGTCCATTTTGGGTGTACAAATCTTATGTAGCAGTTGCAGATCTGTGTGTTTGCGTGTGTGTTTGACATTTTGGGTTGTTCCCTTATCATAAGTAACCATTAGTTATAGATGCATCTTTGCATACCATCTATATATGTATACCTTTATATATTGTACATGTAATTGAAGCTCTTAACAAGTACCTATTGTATCTTTTGAAACACAAGAAAATACAGAAAACATAAAATACAAGTGCTTCCAAAAATACATTTAATTATATAAGATTATACTACACTCCAGGTCTCAGTGCTTTGTATTATTATCAAATACAAAATAATAACTTTAACTCCACAGTAGCAACTTCTGCCTGCTAAGAAGGACTAGATAAATGCCTTGTTTCTTGAATCATGAATGTAGATATAATTGGATTACCATCTGGATACACTGTTTTCCTAGAAGGAATTGTCTTGAGACAGTGGGCTCCCTTAGTTTACACAACAGTGGACTGCTCAAGGATAGCGGCAAAGTTGGCTTCTGTTAGAACACTGTGGTGATTTTCTAGTCACCCTTGAGAACTTGAAGCCAAAGCTACCAAGAGAGAGATGATAAGGCTGGCGTCTCCTATTGCATGAAGAGATGGGCTCTCCCTCTGCATAGATGGTGAGGCTCTAAAAAGAGTAAGGGAAACAGAGACAACATCAGTGTGTGACAAAAATCACAAATGCATGCAACAGAAATGTGTAGATAGAGCGAAAAGTTCATAACGTGAAAGTAAAAATTCGTAATTTCTGTATTCCCATTGAACCGCAGCTAATAACTTCAGTTGTCCTTCCAAGAAAGACAGCACCACACACACACCCACATATACCCCACACACACACACACCTCTTTATGTAAACACACAGAACTCAATTGGCTTCCTTTGCCTGACACTACCTCTTGGCTCTTGGACATAGTTCATGCCGATACACACAGAGTCAATTCATGTTTCCTTGTACATGCTTTCTTATGGTACAAATGTTCCAGAGTGTTAGCCAAGTTCCTTATTGGCAAATAGTGTATCATCAGAGTTTAGCTGATTCTGACCTTAAAACACTGAGCGGAGGCCTGCCCAAATCCCATTTAAACTAGATAAGGTTTGACCTTTTGAGTTTTTGAAACAGAAATTACTGAATTCTTTTCAACCAATTAAAAGGTGAATTTTAAAAATTATAAAACTCTCTTATCCTGGTTCAGAATCAAGTCCCATTGCTCTGGACTAGTTAGTGGGTATGTCCCTTACCAATAACTTCCTTAGGACGAGGAAGCGTTTTCTTTATCAGTCAATAGCACCCTCTACTGGACATTTACTATGTTGCATTTCTGATTCAGTTTATGTCCATTCTTGAATCATTCAAAATTAATTCCTCCTACTTTTTTTTGCCTTAAAATTTAACTATCTAACATCTAGATATATTAATTTATTTTAAACAAAATTCAACACCAGAGCAAAATACAAGAAATAACAAGGGTCTTCCTCATGCTTTTGCCTTTCTGTTTGTAGTTCTTCTCAGACCCATTCTTGCTGTCTGCCCCCATTTTCATCCACAAGCGAAACACACAGCTTCGTTTCTCTTTGCACTATAATTCTAAGTCTAGGATAGACATGTTGGTTTGACGTATTTCAGAGTCAACGATGTCGTGAGCCAGCATGTGGGTATAGGGAATCAACCCCAGGTCCTCTGGGACAGCAGCCAGTGCTGTTAACTACTGAGACATATCTCAAACCCTAAAAATCAATTCCTTAAAAAAGTGTAGTAATACCTCCAAGATATACTGTTAAGTGAAAAATAAACAAATCCTAGAATCTTATCTATATTATCATTTATTATAACTAATTTGAGAGATCTGTGTTGTGTGTATGTGCATGTTCATGCATGTGTATGAATGCACACTTGTACCACGACAGGAATATCTTACTCTACAAGGACACACAGGAGTATAGAAATGGTGGTCTACCTACTTTAAGTAAATAAATAAATAAATAAATAAATAAATAAAACTGGATCATATAAAAATAAAGAAAAAACAGGTTTGCTCTCGACCCTTTTTATAATTGCAAATTTGTTTCTAGCATGTATTTTAACTTTTCAACAACAACAACAAGAAAAAAAGAATTAGGGTTAAGAAGGAAAAGGTCCAAGGTTGCCCAGTGGCCCCACTTCTAGAATGTCTGCTGAAGTGTGCGAAGGTAGAGGACGGTGTTGGGCCATCTGGGAGGAGGTAGCTCAGCTTGCAGATGTCTGTGGAACTTGCACCAATTTAACTCAGAGACCGAGAGGCTACAGTGCAGAAATAACCTGCTCTGCAGTGAGTTACTTAGAAAATGGATAGACAATCAGACTATTTCAGCCATTTACTTACGAGTTCATGACACAGTCGGGGTGAGTGCTATGGTCCACACACATTAAGAACTTCACCGGTCTACGGAAGAAAAATAGTACTTAAGAGATTATTCAAATAACTCCCTCAAGTTAATTATTTATGATGTGCTGTAAACATAAAATATGTCTTGGAAGATTCCACAATCCCCTCCTTTATAAACAATATTGGCTAGGTTGGGAGTGGTGTCTCACACCTTTAGTCCCAGCACTAGAGAGGGAGGCAGAGGCAGGCAAATCTCTGTAAGTCTGAGGCCAGCCTGGTCTACATAGCGAGTTTCAGGACAGCCAGGGCTACACAGTGTGACCCTGTCTCAACACCCTTCTTACAACAGCTAGCACTTATCAAGCCCTCACTATGTACCACAAATTTTGTCTGTGTGTTTTATTCAGATCACATCATTCAACCCTTCAACCATCCAGTGAAGCTGATCCTATTTTCAACTGCAGCTTGCTGCAGATGAAGCTGACTACAATGGTCTCCAACTAACGTTCTGAGAGTTGTGGGTTAGAGCACTAACCTTGAATAGGCTAATCCAGATCCTTCCTGCATGCACATCCTATTTGATTAGGAAAGCCTCCTTTGGATATGTGCTTTGGGAGAAGGGTTTTTTCCCCCCATAGACTAAGCCTTGATTTTTATTACTTAAAAAAGATGCATATTTATTTTGCTTTCTGACTCTGTGCTTGTGCCTTCAACACTTTGACGATTTTCTGCTCCTTAATAAGGAAAGCCCTCTTGATCCTGTCTTGGACACACTTGCCACACATGGAGCCACCGTAGGCCCTGCTGACATGCTTCTTTGTCCTAGACAATCTCATAAGGATTTAGGGTCTCACAGCACTAACCCCTCGAAGTCTTCCCGGGCACATGCCACATTTGGATTTAGATGCTTTCCCAACCTTCTTGGTTTACCTTTAAGGTAAACAATCCTGTTGCCAGGGGTTCGAGACAGCCTAGTTTTGTTAGAGGCTGTTTTGTAGGAAAGCCTACGACGGTATGTCAAACGCTGGACCATCTTGAATGCCTCTAAACACCGTCCCGTTAAGAGCTTGGAAGAAGTTTTAACTAAAGCACATGAGCGATGGCCTAATTGAGAATGCTCCATTGCCTAGTACAATCGAGGTAGAAAATGTGAAGTTCCAGGGCAACCAGGAGGGGCAGAAAGCAGCAACAGAAGCAGGGGCAGGCGACAGTGACACAGAAGGCATGAATTGCAAGGCAGGGTGAGACAACACCTCTATGACCAGATGACTGGAAAGAATTGGGAGAGGTGGAAGAATTACATGGACGTGCACTGACTGGATGCTCTGTGTTCCCTGCTTAGACTCGCCTACCTTCAGTGAAGTGTAGTCTTCGTGCGTACATTTTATTGCCAGTGGGTTTTGTAGATAGTGCCTCGCTAGGATGCCTAGGCTACTCTTGACTTCTTGGGCTCTAGTGATCCTACCGCCCTGGCCTCCTGAGTGTCTGGGACAACAGATGCAATCTGTCCAAACATATTTAAAAAGAAATAAATTTGGTTGTTATCATCTTTCACCCAGGACAGACGTGGAATTTTATAGAGTCTGATCCAATATGATATAAGAAGAATCCAACCAAGATAAGAAATGAGGCTTTACCAGTGTCACCAAAGATCCTGATGTTAACTCCACCTGACACAAGACTAAAGGCAATTCCATTGAACTCTGAGGGTCGGGAGAATCTTACCTACATTTGGCCTTTGTTTTTTGAGTCTCTGCTTCTTTCCTACCCAAGATCAATAGAAAAGCCACAACACAGAACAGGAGCCAGTAGGAGCTGAGTGCGGCTTGGAGTCCCAGAACCATCAGCCAGACAAAGTGGACACCACACAAGGAAGGAGGAACATAGGCCGAGACCAAGGACAGCTGTGATGGGGGAAGCAGCTTTGGGGTCTGGCCTGACTGCTACAGCATGGGCTAGCGATTGAAGAAAGAGCCTCACTAGAGAGTTCTTGGGCGAGAGAAGAATGTTTGTAACTCTGAAATCTGTAGTCACAACTGTCCACATCACTGAGCTGTAATACAGTAAGAATTGTTGAGCTGTAATACAGTAAGAATTGTCCATTTAGACGCATTTCTAATGCCCGGTGCTTTAACACAGGAAGAAAGGGGATATTTGCTTCAAGACTACACAAAGTTGGGTTCAAAAATCAACTCTGATCCTGAGTATTGACCTTGAGCCAGCTATTAAACTTCACGACTCATCTAAAAACAGAATATTTACAGCCCAGAGACAGACAAAGCTAACCCATGACACTACAAACCTAGCCAGAGATACCACAGGAGCAGACAGCTGTGCCCAACAGGGACTCTTTGGGATACCTGGATGCCGGTCACATTCTTCTACTTCATATTTAAGAGCTGCTGCACACTGAACCTGATCATCAAACTGTGTGAGTAAATGTATACGTTTTTCAGTATACAGGTTAGATGTCCAGACAAGTGTATTTGCTTAGTTTTGTTTCTAAAGAGGATGGTAGATGGCACTTGGCTTTGCATTTGTGTCAGCATGAACAATTATAAGTAAAGGGGAACAGATGAGGGTCAAGGAGGCCTGGAACAGGGATGATGTCACTCACAGATGACATCACCCACACGCCCTGAGGCATCGATCGGTTGGGAGAATGGTGCACTTCATACAGCTTTGGGAAGGCAGAGGGCAGCAACATTATGGTGTTGGGCAAGCATACTCCAGGTCATTCCACCCAGACACACCCATTAGTGTCTAAGAAAGCCTTCCAGTGTTGAACTGAAAACCTACTCGGCTTGCATACTTAAGAGCTGAAATGCTGGTGGCGGCACGTGGCATTAATCCCTGTGTTCAGGAGACAGAGGCAAGTGGATCTCTGAGTTCAAGAACAGCCAAGACTATACAGAGAAACCCTGTCTTGAAACGGGATCAGAGTTGGGGGGAGTCAGAGAGGAGTAGAGACAAGAATTCTGGGTCCAGAAGAGGATTACAACCACCTCAGACATAGAGCCAGTCTCTGCTAATGCCTGTGTAGAAAAACCCTTGATGACATCCAAGTCACAGTATATAAAGTTCAGGTCACAATGTCTCAATAGACAGTAGCTGATATGACTCTTAGTATCTATCTATGGTTAAGATCCATCTGTCAAACAAACGCCCAACTTAGTATCGTCTGTACTGTGGTTTAAAGATATGAGAACCGCAGCCCATGGTCCTTAATCTCATCACACATCAACCAAAGCTGAAGGGAAAAAGCAATATCCTCCAGCTGCTATTAAAATGGACTCAGGAAGGTTCTCCCTGCCCCTACACCCTCAGGCAACTTAGAAGTCACTAGCCATGGCCCAAACCAATCTTTTGAATAGCCCTAACACTTCAAAGTGATTATATATATAGCGCCACCTACGGGTAGTCATTGATACAGCTGTGCTGGAACCCCAGGGCCTCCAGTCTGTCTTCCAGGATCTTCACACTGCCTTCGCCACAGGATTCCCTAAAGAATAGACAAGAGTGATTTTTTAAACAGAATAAAAAAGGAGGAAAAGGTAGAAGAAGTTGTTTCAGAGTTAACCAAAGATCTTTAGGCCATCCCGAATGTTCTTCCCTCAAGGGCAACACTGGGAAGTTGAACATTTGTTGGAGATTCATCACCAGGAAAGAAGCACAGGGGGACAGGGATGGCACCACTTGCACCACGTGTATACATTTGTGATGGTCCCCAGGGGGGTCAATCTGCTCAACCCATAGTAAAAGCTTCAAATAACAGCAGTAAACAAAGTTTAAGGTTAGAGAATGCAAAGCAGCAAAAGAGAAAAAAATCATTGCAAGTCTCATCCTTAGAGATAATCACTGCTAAAAATTTCTAGACAGTATTAGCCTCCCTCCCCACGTACCCACAGTTATGTTTTCGTGATTCAGTTAGCCAGTCAATGTTGGCCTGAAAATACTAAGAAGAAACTCCCATAAACAAAACCATTTCGAAGTTTTAAATTGCACTCTATTTTGATTGGCATGAGGAAATCTCTTGCTATTCCACTCTGTCTCACCAGGAGGCGCATCATCCATTGGTCCAGCATAACCACACCGTATGCCACCTGTCCATTGGTCACTAAGTCACCATCTTAGATGCCAGATGGACTGTCATGGACTTCAACGTTTGTTTTTGTTCTCAAAACACCAAAGCAGTTGTGCTGGCAATTTGGATATGCTGGAGACGCTGTGAGCTTTCTCTAGGTAAAAATTCTTGACTTGGTAAGCCTTTTATAGACTTAGCTGAGGTTGCTAAGCCTACAAAAGAAAATCTAGCTATGAAGTTCTGCAAAAGGAATTGTGCTGGGTTTGCTGTCACAGTCTGCAGCACAGAAGTTGTGCCCACAGTGAGCACACACATAGTCACTCTTCATTTCACCCTGGCATGGAGGCATGGGCACAGTACAGTGGGATATTTTAAAGCTAGATCGCATTCATTTTTTATTATAGTGTAATACTGTTATTCTATTTTATTACTTGTTGTTCTTGTTGTTTCTTACTGTGCCCAATTTATAAAAGAAGCTTCATCATAAGTTGTACCAACAGGAAAACATAGTATACATGTAATATCAACCTTCCACTCGCATTTGAACCACACCCAAGGGTGGAGGAGCTGCTGTATATAAGTTTAGAGGTTTTGCAAGGATAGCATTGCATGCTATCCAGTGTGCTCATGTGCGTTAGCCCACGTCTGTATGTATGTGGACACATATAAACATACATCATTGTTTGTAAATTCTGTGTGTATAATATATACATATGTGTGTATATGAGTATACATATATGGCACGTTTGTAAGCTCTGCATGTAAGCATACATGTATGTATACATAAGCATATGTAATACACGTCATTACTTTTAAACTCTGTATGTATGTATGTATGTATGTATGTATGTAAAGATTTGTGTTTCTCTGTATAATTATGTATGCATATGTGCCATTGTTTGTAAACTCTGCATTGTCTCCCTTACACAAACAGATCAAATCTCAAAAAGTCCCTGTTTCAAAGACCTAAGTTGATTCTTATATTTCATTATCATTTAAACTGTAACAAAATTTGTTGAAATTTCATTTTGCACACAGTAATTTTCTGTTTCTTTGGCATAAACTCCTAAAGGTAGGCTTTCTTGAATCCAAATTTGAAATTCATTTTGAGGCTCAGATTTTCGCAGATAGCTTTTCTCTTAGCAACCTCAGCATATGATTTTTTTTCTTAAAAAAAGATTTATTTTTAACCTAGAGAAAGCTCACAGCCAAACTGCCAGCATGACTTCTCTGATGCCTTGGGAACGATCATAAGAATCGCAAATCCATGAGAGCAGAATCACATGCACTGAGCATGTCCGTTTCCCTCACTCTCAGCATGAGGAAGTCTTTCCCTCCCGATGGCCACAACAAGAAATCCCGGGAAGGTTTCTGAAGGCATCCAGTGTTAGACACAGTACTGTGAGCTGTCATGACAGAGTCCTGCTGAGTCTCTAGGACAGGAATGTAAGCAGCCTCTCCACCATAAAGCTGGTTAGGAGTGCGTGTTCAGTGAGCCAGTACACACAGCAGGAGGAAGTCTCTGCAGACATCGAGTTCCAGGAGTTATAGGAATGAAGATGGCAAAGTGCTGAGTGAAAGCATTATTTAGAACTTTTCTCAGAACATGGGCTAATGCTATTCTCTGGACCAGGCTTACTTTTTTAATCAGCAATGGCACAAGCCTCCAGCTGGACACGGGGACAAGGAAAGGCCATATATATATATATATATATATAT